CTCGCCTAAGTGCAGGAGCCCCGCCCTGCACACAGCCTCTTTCTGCAGTGCACTCAGCTCCTTTGGCCTCAATTGTTCTACACCCAGGCAGCAGTGGCCCCCAGGCCCTTTCCAACCCTGTACAGCTCAGAAGCGTTTTGTTCCCAGTCATAGAGCAAGGAAAGTTCTTGTGTGCGGCACATTTTTTTTTTATTGCACTGCAAACCACAGGAAATGAGCAGTAGGAGATCCAATGCTAACTACTGCACATGGTGTCTGCTCACCTCTTCGCTTTGTCTAGTGGCCAGCTCTGCAGTTCCTTCACTGAGGAGAAGGAGGACAGACTTGGTAGAGGGTCGTATGGAGAGTGACAACCAGAGCCACTCTTTGGAAACATTCCCATCCCCTGCACAAAAGGTCGCTGGGAAAGTAGACTTCCTAGGAAAATACGCGGCCTGGGTGGCTTTGTCAGTCTTGCAGAGGAATAAAGCAGGAATGGCCTGACTCACCAGCAAGGCTGGGCCACGCCAGGTCTCCTGCCCCCAGCCCGCTGTTCTGCCTCTGTAGCCTGTGGCCACCTGGCAAGATGGTTGGCTGACACTGATGATTCAGTGACTGTTCCAGGCTTTCGAGGATATCATCATGAATGCCAACTCTTGCCATGAACACATCAAATACCCAAGTTCTGGAGTCACCTATTTGAGCTCCCAGGACCTCTTCTGTAAGTGTTTTGAGGGAAGACGATGAGAATCAGACTTTATCATATTTGGGGTGCAATATCATGACATCATTGGAGAGACCTATTAGGAAGGCAATTTGGAAATGTGCAGGAAGCGACTTTAAGATGTGGTTGGGTACCTTTTGCATCCTGCCACACTTCTTGACAGGTTTTCTAGGATAAACCAGGTAAATGGGCAGGGTTTTCCTCACATCACTAGTTACAACCCCCAAACTGAAAAACAACCTAAATTTACAGGACTAGAGGGTTTGGTTAAATAAATGATCATCCAGTCAGACAGTGGGACAGAAATGAAGAGGTAGCCAGCGTGGTGGTGCGTGCCTGTAATCCCAGCACTCAGACGGCTGAGGCAGGAGGCAGCTTGAATTACATAGCAAGACCATATTGCAAAGCAAAGCAAAGCAACCGCAACAAAAGAGCTGCAGGTGTAGCTCACTGGATTGTGTCATGAAAGGTATCCTTTATATTGTTGCAAGGTAGTGGTGTGGGGAGACCAAGCTGGGAACGGCAGGCAATGGAATGGCCACTGTAGTGTGTGTGTGTGAGTGTGTGTGTGTGTGTGTGTGTGTACAGTAGTAGTAAGTTTATTTATACATATGCACATATCTGGAAGGATTATCAAATTATAACTGGAGGTTACTAGGCATTTTTTCATTGAGTTTTAATTTTGTCAATAATGAACGTGTAGTTAGTAAACTTTTAAAAGAAAAGGATTTGGGGTAAGCCATGGAGACCTCTGGTCAGTGTCAGGTGTGTCCCTGGGCACCATGCAGTCACTCTGACCTGCCACTTCTCTTCCCCACCCTACCCCCAATACCCACACTCCTTGCCCCACGACACAGGCGCCTGAATGCAGGCAGAGAGCAGAGGATCTGCAGGAAGAGCCCCGGCTCCAGCTCCGTGCCTAGCCCCTCTCCTGCCTGCTGTGCATTTCACAGGGAAGGCCTGGAGGTCCACAAGTTGTACAACAAGAAAGGTCCCCAAGGGCTGGGGAGATGGCTCAGTGGAATAAGCGCTTCCTTGGCGGCAAGCGCAGGGCCTGAGTTCAATCCCTGGTTCTACCAAAAGAAAAAAAAAAAAAGAAAAGAAAGTCCCCAAGGCCAAGCTGCCCATGGGGGCCAGGCTGCTTCCCATGAACCGGTGGCAGCTGAGCTGTCCCCTGGAGAAGTGTCCCCTGCCCTCCTTGAGCTCCAGCCCTCTTGTCTCCTCCCCACCAAGCCTGAGGACTTGCTAGCTGAGTCCCAAGTGACGACACAGGCTGGAGCCCCTAGGAGGCCTTTTACACAGAGAACACCCACATTACACAGGACAGCCACTTTCAAGGCTCCCTGGACAAGAAGATAAGCAGATCACATCCAATGTAGGATCACCCTGGAGGAGGGTGGACATCTTAGTGATATGGAAGCTTCTGATTTAGAGGCATGCCTCCTTTTAGATAGGAATTCTTAATTTTTTCTCCATAATGCTTTAAAGATTTTAATGAAAAACATTTGGTGGGTTTGATGCAACTGTAAATGGGTGTTGCTCTTTAAAACTCTCCCATGTGCAGGGCTGCCGGTGATTCTAAAGTTCATACCCTGCAAAACATCTATTATTTCACTTGCACTTTTTTTATCTGCTCTAGTGGTGGCCACCTCCACCCACATTTCTCCAAAGGTGGGACAGACATTGTGTATGTCCTCTCTCCAGAGAGGCTTGCCGTTGTTTTGAAATTTGTTCACTTCCTTTCCTTGTTTTGATTTTTTTTTTTTTTTTTTTTGTAGAACCAGGGATTGAACTCAGGCCCTTGCACTTGCCAGGGAAGTGCTTATTCCACTGAGCCATCTCCCCGGCCCCTTGTTTTGATTCTTGTTAGGGTCGAGTGAATCTCTCCAATGGCGAGAATCGAACCCAGGGCCTCCTGTGCTAGGCACATGCTCTACCATTAGCCAATCCTAGCCCCTGTGATACTCTCCTGCACATTCGGGGTCCCTTGGCCCAAGCCGAGTCTGCACAGCCATGGACCTGTAGAGGTGGGAAGGCCTCTGGCAAGGCTAGAGAAGTGGGAGGACCCAGCCTGGGACTCTGGCAAAGCCCACCGCTGTGCATGGGCCACAGCTCCCTTGTCCCCCAAGCCAACTGGCCCTGCTGAGCCTCATTCAGAAGAACCCAGTGATCCACCTCAGCGCAGACGGCCTCTCTATGGCACCAAGTGCACATGTTCTGTTCTCAGCCATTGGCTAGGCATCCTGCTTCCATCCTCCACGTGAGCAGCTGGGTAGAATTCGACAGCCTGAGGGCTCCCCAGATGTCTCTCCCCTTGCTGGGCTCTGTGGAGGTTCCTAGGGTTGGTTTCTGGGTCCCTCCTCCTAATTCAAGTGCTGTGACTCTGCTTCTATGTTTCAATGCTACGTTTCTGCCTGAGTGGGGGAAGATTTCCAGTGGTATCAATTTTAAATTACTGATGCAACATCCCTGCTCCCCATCCTGACAACAGTAGTGCTCAGTGTTTGCTGCCCAGAGTACTACGTGGATTCTTCTTAGGGGAAATCTGGGATCAGAGGGGGAACTGTGCACTGATAAACTGACAATGTCCGCCATGGGCATAAGACACACACGGGCATGTATCTTTCCATGTGTTCTTGCTGCACCATGCAGCGTTGCAGGACTTTTTAAGCTGGGCTTCCAGACTCTGAGGACCCCACTCTGCCAATGGCAAAGACTGCACCAGGCCAAGAGGAAGTACTCATGCAGGGCCCTCGATCCCCCTCTGCAGGCTACACTCTGGCTCCCAGGCCTGCAGAATTCCTGCCTGAACCATCCTGAGCCTGCTCTTGAGGCCTGCGCTAGCATCTCCCTAGGTCATCTTCCCCGAGGTGGGACTGGGTCACCATATGGGCGCTCGTAGGCCCAAGTGGCAGCTGTTTACCTCCCCAAAGGAAGGGTGGAAAAGCTCTGATTGTTAGGACGCTTTCATCTCTGTGGATCCCAAAACAACTTCGCACGCATCTCCACCCTTTGGGTGGTGACCTGCAGGGCCACCCAGTTCCTTGGTGGTCCCCATCCCTCACCATGTTGCTACAGCCCAGCCCAGCCTGGCCCCTTAGAGCTCTGGCTTCATTGTCCCCTTTCCCCAAAACCAAGAAAAAAAAAAAAAAGGAAGAAAGAAACACACAACAACACTGTGGTGTCCAAGTCAAAACACCAAGGGCAATGTTAATAAATACATAACACTTGAGAGTGTTCCAAGGCACAAAGTTTACCCTCCTTAGTACACTCCTTTACAGGAATGCTTTGGTGTGAGTCCCAGCGACCTA